TCATTGATCTGGCATGTTTAATGTCATCTTCCAGATTATTCCATAATCTTATACCCTGGACTGAAGTAATCTGTTCCTTTAAACTGGTTCTAAACATTTTGACAGCTTAATGTACATTAGTCAAATTAGCCATGGAATAACAAAAGCTGGTTCCTACAGTTTTTAATTATTTCCCAGTCCTGTATTTGATTCATAATTTCCTCGATAATCATTACAAGTCTTTTAATCCAATCAGCTGGTTTTCATAGATCCTGCTTGAAACAGTGGGTAACTCGTTTTTCACAGCTTCTACAAATGGAGGATGAAATGTAGCGAGTGGTTGCGCAATAGTTCTGTTTGTCTTGTTTTAACCGTGCGTGTTTTTGCTCTCAGACTCTCTGGGAGGAAACAGCCACACGCTGATGATCGCGTGCGTCAGCCCCGCCGACTCAAACATGGAGGAAACCATCAACACGCTGCGGTACGCCGACAGGGCTCGTAAGATTAAAAACAAGCCCATCGTCAACGTCGACCCCAAAGCGGCTGAAATGAAACGGCTGAAACAGCAGGTGGGAAAGTTCGATCATTCTGAAGTGTCACAAAGAATTAAAACCGCGGCTCAGTTTTAGTTCWTTACAGCGAAACGGTTTTCTGTTGTTCAGGTTCAGGAGCTGCAGGTGATGCTGCTGCACGCTCGAGGTGGAGTCGCTCCTGTGCTCTCCGGGTATGGATTCTTTATCTTATGTCATAATAGCCAATAAATCCACTCAGATTTGTTGGTAGTAAAAAAAAAAAAAAAAATGCAATAACGGCTCCACGTTCCCTGGGTTACAGAGCGGAGTCAGCTGAGAATGTGACCAAGCTGCTGGAGAGGAACCGCTCTCTGGAGGACGAGAACAACAAGCTGAGCAGAGAGCTGAGCGAAGCAGCCGGGCAGACGGCCCTCATGTTTGAGAAGATCATCATGGTGAGGCAGAGAGAAGCAGAGTTCACTCAACTCAAAAAAATAAATAAATAAATCTGTTGTTCTGCTCAAAAATTATTAATTAGAGCAGGTGTGCTGGAGAAAACTAATCTCACAATCTGTAACTAATCTTTGTTCATGTTTGTTCTTTTTCCAGACAGAACAAGCAAACGAGAGACTGCAAGGCAAGCTTGAAGAGCTTCAGCACCACGCAGCGTAAGTTTTTATCAACTCAAAGCTAAAAACTTTACTGAAAAAGTTAAGCTGATTTTTTTATGAGTAAATATGAAGCGTTCAGTTGACGGTTTGTTTCTCTGACTGCGCCACGTTTTCCATCCGTTTGGACTGAGCAGAGTGCATCATGGGAATGTGTTTGTTTTTATAACAGCACAGTTTTCAATGTTCCTACAACTGATTGTACGACAAAATGACATTCACTCAACTTTCTGCTCTGCTGATTTACACTGAAACTTCCAGACTCTAAAATGTTGTTTTGGATACTTTAGGTTGTATAAAATCATAAAACTTTTCTTTTTTTTTTACTAACTTTTGTGATTTAAATTCTACCCTGTTGGTGGTCACATAATTCCTGAAGCTAACCACTTTAAACGGGATAGAAAACTTTGATGAAATAAAAATGATTGTAATGTAATTAAAGGTGTTCTGTGAGTGTTGAGGCTTCACAAACCTGCTCTGCAGCGTTCCCCGTGTGTTTTAGGTTCAAGTTATTCCTCAGAATCTTCTTTAATCATAAAAAAATACTTGAAAACGATGTTTTAGAGAAACGTTGGTGCTTGAAAAGTGAGATTGTGATGAGCAGAACCACAAATATTTTACCTTTTTTCTAATCTTTAGTTTTTTTAGTGGCTTTTGATCACTGTGTGTGTGTTGGTGTAACGCATGTGTTAAGCTGCAGTCTTGTTTTCCTCAGATGTACAGTGGATCTTCAGAAAGTACTGCAGACTCTGGAGGACCAGGAGCTGAAGGAGAACGTCGAGGTCATGAAGAATTTACAAGATCTTATCTTGGAGCTTAAGGTACACAAACCGTCTTCATTACCCTCCAACAAATCTGAGTTAGTATTTATCTGTATTTACATCTCATTTTGTAAATAAACTGGTGTAAAATCTCAGCAGTGCCTTCAGGTCAACATGGTGATTTTTTTATCTCTGCTGATGTTCTTGATCTTAATTTTTATACTTCGCTGGTTTTGTTTTGTTTTTAAGAATGAGAGCGCAGGCATGTCGGCCTCCATCAACGCCATGGTCGCAGGAGAAGCAGCTCCTGAAACGTCAGGAAGTGACGATAAAAACTCTGAGTCTCAGACKGTACGCTTTCAGCTTTTTCTCTACAGTTTGAAAACTTGATTTAGTGATGTATTTCTCCCTCACCTGCAGCATATTTAAAGTTAAGATTGTCATGGCAAAAAATACAAGAGACAAGTAAACCCACCAAATTGTGGCAAAAACACAACAATAAGACGATTTATCCTTTGATTATTGCTTCAACTTAAAGTCAACAACCTTCTCCTCCCTTTAAGAATACTCCGGAGAACTTCACAGCCCATCACGCACTGCGGCAAGCCCAGCTCTCCAAAGAACTGATTGAGCTGAACAAAGTGTTGAGTTTGAAGGAAGCCTACATGAGGAAAATGTGTGAGAATGACAGTCAGCTGGAGCCGATGCAGTCGGAGCACCAGGTGAGACCGTTCACACCCTGACTGAAACGATATCAGTCAGCTGGTTTAAGAGGTGTTTTTATAGCTATTTTCTTTCAAACAAAAACCATTTTTTGTTTGATTTTAAACTTGTTTTCCAGAAAACTGCCCAAGCTCTGCAGTCGTCAGTAGACTCGTTGCAGAAGGAGAAAGAGGAGCTGATTTTAGCTCTTCAGTCGGCAAAAAAAGACACCAACCAGGCCAAGTATAAAAGTTTTGATCCTTTTTGTGGTTTAGGCTGATCAGATGCAATCAGAGTGATTCCTGCTCATTTAAAAAGCCCTCACTCACGTCCGTTTCTTTCACCACCTTCATCCAGGCTCAGCGAGCAGAGGAGGAAGAGGCTTCAGGAACTGGAGGCTCAGCTCGTAGACATGAAGAAGAAACTCCTCGACCAGTCGAAACTGCTGAAACTCAAAGAGTCGTCTGCTCAGAAAGTCAACAAACTCATGCAGGAGATCCAGGTGACCAAATTCAGAAGTTCTGCTGCCATCTTGTTGATGATAAACCTGCCTCTTTTTTGTTCCTGTTGCAAGTTTGTTTTTGTCTGTATTTGAGTTATTCTTAACTTTTTATTGTGCTGAGACCTGAGTGCATCTCCACCACTGTTAGWGTCTGTTTCCGTCACTCTTTGTTATTAGCATTAACCGTATTGGACATACTTTCTTCCAGTTCTTTGCAAATTCGCTCGTCTTCCCCCACAGCTCGAGAACTCAACACTTCTCAGAGAAGCTTTGCCGTTATTGTCCCAGAAGTTTCACAATAACATAAAAAGTTTTGGCTTTTAACACAAAGCCATTGGTTCCGCCAGTGGAAGCAACCCGTCAAAATAAAAGCCGTTTAATGCAGTAGCTTAGATAGCTAACACATGGATTCAGTTTGCCTCCTACRTCRCAGGACCTGCAGTGTGACTGTTGCACACATACAGTCCCATGACAATGCTCAAACGGGACATCGTGCAGCTCTACCATGRACGCAACATAAGAACTAAACTTGTCTTTGAGCTCGTTTGTCAGTTTCTAAGTGTGGATAATTATAACACGTTTGTTTTGGAGCAAATGAAAGCAAGACTTTGTTCCTTCAGGCTATGAAGAGCCAACGCATCCAGCTGATGAAGCAGATGAGGGAAGACTCAGAGAGGTTCAGACAGTGGAAAAACAAGAAGGACAAGGAGGTCCTGCAGCTGAAGGAAAAGGTTTGGAGTTCTGCAGAGAGATGATCTACACCTCCAACTTTTCTGGAAGATTGATTGGATGTTGTCGGTTTGTCTCTTTGTCTTTCAGGATCGTAAAAGGCAGTACGAGTTGGTCAAACTTGAGAGAGATTTCCAGAAGCAAGCCAATGTCCTGCGTCGTAAAACTGAAGAGGTCAAACCTGCCATAATTTTTTTATACAACCTGTTGGGTTTATTTTGTTTAAAAAAAAAAAAGGTCCAAAAGACTGAAATGAATTCATTATATTTGAACCTTATTTGATTTCAGGCTGCAGCAGCCAACAAGAGACTGAAGGATGCTCTGCAGAAGAGAAGTGAGGTGGCAGAGAAGCGTAAAGATGCTCAGAGCAGAGGCACTGAAGGAGCTGCTGCACGCATCAAAGTACTGAATAATGAACAAAGTTACAAATGTCCAGTAAAGCTGCAGAGTTAAGTGTTCAGTCTCCCGTTTAGACATGGCTGCTGAACGAGGTGGAGGTGATGGCGAGCACAGAGGAGGCCCGGCGCCACCTCAACGATCTGTTGGAGGACAGAAAGGTCCTGGCTCAGGAGATCTGCCAGCTCAAACAGCAGATGGAAGCCGGCGAGAATCCTGCTCGCAAAATCAGGGTGAGCTGAGAAAAAAAAGTGAGTGGATGGAACAAAAACTGTAAATAAAACCTCTTCGTTTCTGGCTGTGGATTTATCTCCCTGCAGCGTCGGACTCTGATCATGTCTGAGCTGGAAAGACCGGGGGCGCTGGACACCCCCCTGTCCAAACAGGTGGAGAACCTGGAGACAGAAATAGACCTCAGGTGAGAAGAGAGAGCAGGTGTAGCTGATTTATTAACGTCAGCTATAGCTAACTGACATTAGCCGAACTTTAGCACGTTGCTGGTTCAGGTAAAGCTCGTCCCACAAATGCTTGTTCCTTACAAATGTGGCTTTATTTAAAAGGGAAATTAACAGGCTTTCCAAAGGTATAATAATTATTGCCAAGAAGCATTGTTACAACAAAGAAATAATCTATCAAACACTGTTTTTACTGAAGTCTAAGTGATCTTTATTCCAACAGGAACGCTCAGATAGCGGACCTGCAGCAGAAAGTCCTGGTCGCAGACGGCGAGGGTCGTTTAAAACAACGGATCGACGGCATCACGAGCATCGTGGAAGCAAAGTGTGCTCTGCGCATTCTCATGTCTGAGGTGAAAAACATGATAATGCATCATTATTACATTTATACATTTCACTGTTTGGGCTTGTTTCTTTAAAATAAAAAAAATCACTCGTTCTTTTCTTTTGGTTTGTTTCATTAATTTTCTTTTTATTTAAGCTTATGTCGTCCAAAACGGCACACTCCAAGCTGGAGAGCGAGCTGAAGCAGGAGCAAGGCAACCTGCAGGACTTGAGGAAGATGCTGAACGATGAGAGGAACGTCATGTCAGCCATGGACGTGGAGCACCAGCTGCAGCTGGTGGAACTGGAGCAGAGGCACCAGGAGAAGGTGGAACAGCTTCAACCTCTTTGTAAACACGCATTTATTCCCACTTCTGCTCACTGAACCACAAACTGTTTTTCTTCTTTTTTCCACAGGTTCTCTACCTCCTGAACCAGCTCCAGAACAAAACCATCTGTGAGGTGTCCGAGGAAACGAAGGAGGATGAGCAGAGCTCAAAGGAGAGGGAGCTTCTCCAACACCTCAAAGTTCAGGTTTGTTTTCATCTAAAGTTTATTTTAAGCAGTCGTGTAGAAAATGTCCTGATGTGTTCGTTGTAATGTCAAACAGGAAGAAGAGCTGGAAAAACTCCGGACTTTAAGTGAGCAGAACCAGAAACTAATGGAACAGAATGAACAATACAGACAGGTAACTTATTATTATTATTATTATTAGCTTTATTAGCTTTATTATTAGTTTTATTTTGATACCAAAACCTTGTAGAGTTTGTAAATGTGGAACGTATTTCAAGCACAAACTTCAAGGAAACCCTTTGGGGCTGAAAAGGTCATTAATTTATACTGTCAGCAACTTGTCAGCCAAAAGTTAGTCTTGTTGTTGTTTGTAATTTGTTTTTGTGTAGAAAATTAAAAAAAAAACCTGACTAATGTTCAAACTGAATACCAAGAAAAGTCTGTAAAATATTCATTAAAGGTTTCTTGGTTAGACTTTAAAGCCTCATTGTTGGAATAAACTAAAAAATGTATTTTCAGAAACTCTCTTTGCTCAACTTGGCAAGTGAGAAGAAAGTTCTCGTGCCGACAACCAAGAACACAGAAAACTCCAACGACTCGTTTGAATACGTTCCTCCCAAGGTGAGTGGTTTATTCTCTGTGGTGTTTGTTTCAAATCCCAGTGAGGTTGAGTCTGTTAGTTTTAAAATGAAACGTGACCACCTGTAAGAAACCGATCGCCTTTTGTGTTTTGAACAAAAGCCGAAAGTGAAGCGCTACACCACAGCTAAAGCAAAGCTGAACACAACAATCACAGTTGAAGAGCTGTTGTCGCCCAGCGAGGATGAGATCGAGGAGGAGGAGGACGAGTGGCGTCCTGAGAAAGTCGAGAAGGAGCGCAGGTCCTCGAGGAAATCTAAAACCACCGGGGTAAGACTGGGCAGCAGCTCCTATCTGGGTCATAATGATGTTAACAACACAAATTAAAGATAAGATTGAATGACTTAGTTTTGGTTTTCATTGTTTCTGTTTTCATCATGACCTTTGATGTTTTTAAAAACTGATATTTTCTGTAGCAAACTAGTGAAAAATCTTTAAAAAACTCATTTTAGGTGGATTTGTGTGGACCAAACTTAGAGCTTTTCGGACGTAGCAGCATTTTTTACACACTTTGTGTACATATGTAGCTGTTTTTTTTACTGGTTTTATATTTTTTAATAAACTTTGATGGGTTTGTAACTAATAACAGGGAAACCATGTTTGATTTTGAGGAGGAAAGGTAGTTTTAGGGGAATTTTTAGCTGTATTTTCTTTGCTCTTAATGTGGATGGTTTTTTTTTTTTCACCTAGTGGCTGAACATCTGTGTATTTGCATGTCTGGAGATGTGCAAACCAGACTTAAAAGTTGTGAAATCCTTTTTGTAAACATGTTTGKTTCATCGATCATACTGAGGAGGAATAATAAAAAAACATTTTCATGTTAGTGATTATTAAAGTGTGTTAACGTCTGTCTGCATGGGGTTGGTTTCTGATGATCCTGCCTCTGTCCTCAGTGTGCTTGTAAAGGTCGCTGCAGTAACAAGCTGTGCAGGTGTCGTAAAGGGAAGACGGCATGTGGAGAGAACTGCCAGTGTGACCACGAGAGGTGTCGAAACATGCACAACCAGGCGCCTGCCGAGGTACGTCACTTACCTCGCCGTATTTTCTTCTTCAACTGGTGGGTCTGCCTCTTTCTGACTTGTTTGTGTTGAAGAGGATGAGGTTGTTCCTACGCGTCATAAAGAGGTTTATCAGGTCAGTGTACGCAGCGTTGCCTCAGTTACTCTGGATATCTGAGCTGGATGAGATAAATATTGTAAGGATGGTCGGAGACCAAACTGGAGCTGATGAAAGTAATTTTCTCAGCTTCCTCGCAGTTCAGTYGTTTTTTAACTTTAGTTGAGGCGATGTTCTGCTAACGAAGGAAGGACAGAGATGTACGTATTTTTGCAGAATATCTCAGCATTTCTTTCTGGTGCCGCTGCAGTGATGTGGTTAAAAAGGAAACTCTTCATTTTGTCTCAAAGTCCAGCAGAGATGTGAGTCAGAAATGCAAAGACAAAGATGGCTCAGCCATTTTGACATTTACAGGGTTCCTGTGGATCCTTAAAGGGGATCCACGATTAGTTGTAACATTAGTCTTTATTTGATAAACATTTAACTGTAAAATAAAGACAGTAAAAATCCTGTAGGCTGTTTAATTTTTATAATTTTTAAACTAAAAGTTAAAAAATATATTACACAGACAGGGCCATTTTATTTACATGCAAAGCATTCTGGGTAAAAGATGTGGATATGTCCTCGGTGTGAGCGAGCTATATCCACCCTGAAGGTTAATCTTGGACAATATCTGATGATCGACTCTTTTAAATGAAACCAGAGAGCGTTGACAGAGAGGAGAAGGTAGAAATGACTCAGCCTGGAACTGAAAATATGGATGGAGGACCTCAGTTTAGTTTGTTTGTCGTACTGAGCTAATACATATAAAGCAATATAGTGTTGGCGCTAAAGCTAACAGGCTAAGCTGAGGTTGTTCTTCCATGAAGCAGCTCTGTTGTYCTCCATCCATATTTTCAGTTCCAGGCTGAGTCATTTCTACCTTCTCCTCTCTGTCAACGCTCTCTGGTTTCATTTAAAAGAGTCGATCATCAGATATTGTCCAAGATTAACCTTCAGGGTGGATATAGCTCGCTAGCAGCCTCGCACTGATGACCTATCCACGTCATTATTTACCCAGAATGCTTTGCTTGTAAATAAAATGGCTCTGTCCGTGTTAAAATATATTTTAAAAAATTATAAAAACTAAACAGCCTACAGTATTTTTACAGTCTTTATTTTACAGTTAAAATATGTTTATCAAATAAAGTCTAATGTTACAACTAATCGTGGATCCCTTTAAAAAGTCTTAAAAGGCATTGAATCCATCAATCAAAAAAAAAAAGGCCCTAATTAGCCTTAAAATGTCTTAAATCAATCTTTCAGAGGTCTTAAAAATGTTAACACATTGTAAACAGGATGACTGTATTTGTCTCAAATTAAAATAATTGGTAACATTTATTTATTTAAACAATTTACCAAATTTACTGCAGCTAGTTGTTTTGCGTTTAAAAACAAACATTTGGTTAAAATTTTAATTTTTTTTTTCACATTTGTTTATTGTGAAGTTGGTCTTAAATTTCCTTTCAAGTGGCATTAAAAAACATTAAAAGGTCTTAAATTTAACTTGTCTTAAGCTGTAGAAACCCTGATTTGATGAGTTAATGTTCAGAGCAGCTGCTGAGACGGATCCACACCAGCTAAAAATATCTCATGAATCTTTAAATCAATTTTAATAACACAAAGTGATGTAACGTTTGACGTCACCCCAGCTGAAGATGCTCCACCTCAGATAAACTCAGATTTACAGGTGAGCTGAGCTTTGTGTGGCAGTCATAATACTCTGTTTCCTTAAGACTGCTGGCTCATTTCAGGATCCAGGTCCTGTAGAAGTGGTCTCCAAAGGCTCTGCACCTCTTCAGGAACCCACCTATAACAGTCCTGAAACCACCTTCTTCAAGCCGCCGTCTTGTACGCCTACGAACAAGGTAAATCAGCCCGACGCCTTCGTCTGATACGACTGTAAAAATAAAACATTAATCTGGTTCGTTCAGGCTGTTTCTCTGCGTTCCTGCACTTCTAAATGTTTCTGTTCTGGCTCCGGTGTGTTTTCCTCCTCGTGCTGCTGCAGGTGCTGAAGGAAATCGGAGAGCTGGGCCATCCCACCCCAGAGCAGGTCGGGACATCCATCCAGGAGGAAGAGGAGAAGGATGAAGACGAGGAGGACAGAATGACCGTCAGCATCATAAAGAAAAAGAAACGACTCTTGACCAGTTTTCAGAACAGTTTTTTCTCCGGCTGCACTCCCATCAGTGAGGAGCCCTAACAGGTCGTTTCTGCACTTCTTCTTAATTACACGTTTGTTTCTGTTCGTTTTTAGTCGTTTTGTATGTTAATAAACTGTGTACTGTAACAAAGTAGCAACTAATTCTAATGTTTTTGTGGAAGAAAAAGAACTGAGGAGTTTTGATGAAATTTAATAAAAAGGAACTTTTAAGTGGCTGCACAGAACTTTTAATGATTTATGTCATAAATCTGATTCAGATGATCCTCTTTACTTACTTTTTTTTTTTTTTTTTTTTTTTTTTAGTTTCACAGCCTAATAAAGTCTTGGTCACAACTTTTAACAAATCATGTTTTACCTTTCTGTCTGTTCTTATCCTGACTTCCTAAATAAAAACTAGCTATTTGTGTTCATCTGTTAGGACTGATCTTCTGCTTTCAGCTCCTTTTCTCAGACAGGATGTGGTTTATTAAAACGTACAGGACTACTGAATATCTTCAGAAATGAACACTTTTCTTACCAGTCTCAGAAGGGGGGAAGAATGTAAATAAAATTGTAAATTGTCTGATTTAAAACGTGTCTCTTCATGTCTCCATGATGTAAATGTTTTTGATGATCGACGAGGTTTAGGGTTACCAGAGAAACACTGCATTATGTAAACAAAAAAAACCTCTTAACATTTAAATTTGTTTATTTTTTTATCATTTATTTTTTAGTCTTTTAACTCATTTAGGATCCAAACTAAGTCTCCAGCGGGTCAGATGTGGCCCGCAGGCCGCCAGCTGAATAGTCCTGACCTAGACACAGGAAAGGAAGCAAATTCCTTAAAAAAWTTTAAAGTATTTATATTTTGTTAATGCTTGTTGATGCCAAATGGTTTAGAAATATGGTAGTTCCATCTGTTTTTGTTTTTTATACGAAAAAAACATGTAAGATTAAAAATAAGGCTGGTTTTTCACTCCTTTCACCAAATCTAATTGCTTTATATAAGTGTTRTATGTATTTTTATATTTTATTTGCAGCTTTGACTTTATAGTTTTTGAATGAGTTTAAAAATCGGGACAGAAACATCTATAAAGTTGATGGTTTTCATTACTTATTGTTAGTTGTCCTAACGGTGACAACATGCTCATTCATGCAAACCTTCAAATAATCGTACAGTTCATTCGCTTCAGTCAGAACCACACACGAGTGCATCATAACCTTAAAAACCACCTGGTGAAACAATAAAACTGCCACACAAGAACATAAATACAGATCTTTATTCTTCTGGTGAACAAAAGATCCAGAGTCTCTAATGAAAACCTGATTGGGTGAAAATGTAAAAAGTTAAATAATTTTCTTTCCTTTCGCACAACAAACACTTAAACATGAGCAAAAGGAAGTTGTTAGTGAAACGTTTTTACTGTAATGGCAGGTTTCACAAAATGCTTGAGAATGTACAGTTGATCTTTTTTTGAGTTTTTGTTTTTGTACTTGAAAAGAAAAATATCCAGGAACAAATGCAGAGGAAGATGAAGACTCAAAAATAAATTAAATCAGCACTAACGGTTTTATGATGACTCGAGAAAACGCAGCTTGAAGGCACCATCAGCGCTTTACTTTGGGTCTGATGTTTTTCTCAGAATAACATCAGGAAGTATYTGAGCCTCTGCAGTTTGTGCTGCTCAGCAGGAGAGGGCAGACCTGTCAGGATCCATCTTTATCTGGAAATCCACCTTGTTTCTCACTAATGAGCTTCAGTTCTAAACTCTATGTGTGTAATCCTTACATAATTTACTTTCTCCATTTAAGTTAATGCTAAGTGTCAGATTTAAGTTACATTTTTCTAAATGCTGATTACAAATAAAGCTTTAGAATTTGTAATTTCAATAATATACACAATGAGAAAGCTGTTTTCTGATACGTTGGCCTGCAAATAATTACAGAACTGGTTTGATATAAAACCTCTATGTTTGGATACTTTGATGAGAACAAATTAATAATAAGTATAAAGCTTTAGCTCTGTAATGCTGGGTTTATCATACTCTTATTTTACTCTTTGAGGGGACAGTCTCTTATCTGTCACAGGTGGACTGATTTCAGACCCCGAGCTGCTCTGACCAGCATCAAGCAGACCAATACCAGCGCCACTGCTCCATTAAATGTGTTACAGTTTATAATTCAAGTRAAAAGTTTGTCAGTCCCATGTTTAAGAAATTTAGACATTTTTAATCATTTAAAAACATTTCAACAGCATGCATCTTGCTGTATGTTTGATTTGATCTATTAGGGCTGTAGGTCTATAAGGTAAGGAAGGAGGGACACCTTGTTCGAAATAAAATAAATGTATTTTTAAAATCATCATGTAATGTTTAAATTTTAACTCAGTAGTATTACTCAAGTACTTGTTTTGAGAAAAAAACTTGAGAAAACCCCTGAACGACATGAAATTTGATGTTTTCGTACACTTGAAGGTAGATTTGAATCATTTTAGTGATAGCCAAAAGTTAATAAGAAAAACTTTGGAGTAGTGTATTCTTACAGATTAGACACAAATGTATTTTTACTTTTACTGCTCGTCCTGTTGACCTTCTCAGTCATGTCTCACACAGCTGGACCAAAGTCCAGGGACACAGGAAGTCTTAAACTTCCAGGAGAACTGTGCACGCACAAGAAAGTCCAACCAAAAATAAAACCACAAATAACTTTTAGCTCATATTAGTCATTCAGCTCAGAAAAAAACTAACAGAAAGACAAAAAGAAAGAAAAAAAACGGCCCTAAAAGAGTCAATGATTGTTGAAATGAGCTCATCGCTCCGAGCTGAGAGGACTCCATGTGACTTCAGACACGGGGATCAGCAGATTGCTGCAGTTATCTGATCTAAATTACATCTGAAATGATTCTGACCTCAGCTACTTTCAATTCAAAGGTACGAGAAAAGCCTTTATCTGCAGGTTCTCTGTCTCTGAGATGCTGGACTCTGCTCTCAAAGTGGGCCGATCCCTTCAGCTCCTCAGATAAGATAGAACAAGTGTATGAATTTGGAAACAAACGTGAGTAAAAATGTTCTTGAAGGAGGAATTCTGTGAAATAAAACAACTAAAGGTGATTCATGTTGCAAAGTAGGAACTTTTAAAACATAATTAACTTTGTTTCGTTATGGCCCTGATATTATAAATAAGACCTTTGWTTTTGCTGCTTGATTTGATTCAAACTGAAAGAGATACAGAAACATTTTGGCTGTAATTTTTTTTTATCTCAAATATTAATAATTTGCTCAAATTGCCCTCTTACCAATCTTTAACACCACGTTTATTCAGCCTTTTATTGTGCTGCCATTGAACCTTGCTTCACTACAGCCCAGATTTTTTTTATTCTGCTTCCTCTTGTGGGATTGCTTCACACCTTTGAGTTCTGCTCATGTAGGCGTACATTAGACTCTCCTCGACCAACATGGAGCTAAAACAGCCTCAATGGTAAACACTTAGTTTATTTTCCTCTTGACAAAAAGTGTCTACCTTCTTTTAATCAGGGTTTAATGTATCAGAACATTAAAGTAACCTGGTCTGAGGCACGTGGAGTCTGACGTGAAGCATTGCATGGTCTGACCTTGGGGTGAATTTGCTAATTGTCACTTCCTGAGAAGATTGGCCACCGACTTAAATGTTTTTTCTCTTGTGAATAAAAACTTTCTCTTTGTAGAACAATAAACTCCAAATAGTTTATTAATGAACCCTTTCCAGACCGATGAGCAGCACCAGTAGCTTCTCTGGGGTCATTGCTGATATCTTTCCGACTTGGCGTTGTGTTAACACACACCTGCACGCTCCAGAGCAGAGCTTTTATAAAGGTGATCGCCCTCAACACACTCAAATATCAATTAGTTTAATTGAATCACCTGGCTGCGATGTTCCCTCTAACATCCAATGAAAGGACCAAGACTGGAATCAGTTTTCCACTCACAACTTTTACACTTTAGCTCTATTTTCACATTTGAATAAATAATGAGATACAGGTGGGTCAGTCAGGCCTTTTATAAGCAGTGTGAACATTTGGTTCACTCATCTGATGGTAAGGTGGACCCCATAAGGGTGGAAGTTGGACAGGATGGATGGATGGATGGATGGATGGATGGACAGATATATAGATGGATGGATGGACGGATTTGGGTTAGATGGATGGATGGATGGATGGATGGGTAGATGGATGATGGATGGATGGAGGGATGATGGATGGACATATAGATGGATGGATGAATGATGGATGGACAGATATATAGATGGATGGATGGATAACGGATGGATGGATTTGGGTTGGATGGATGGATGGATGGACAGATATATAGATGGATGGATGGATGGGTGGATTGATTTGGATTGGATGGATGGATGGATGGATGGATGGATGGATGGATGGATGGATGGATGGATGGATAGATGGATGGATGGATGGGTGGATTGATTTGGATTGGATGGATGGATGGATGGATGGATGGATGGATGGATGGATGGATGGACA